CTCCCTCGGCCGTGGGAACCGGCCACCTAAAGGTTTGCCGCCAAGACACAACATCAGTGATACACCGATTATGCCCACAATCGGCCCAACAAGAAAGTACCATCTATTATTCCTCGTCCCTTCCCCTCCAACAATGTCATTCCTAACATCAACAGATCCCGAAGGCCCGTCCACATCACCATAATCAGCATTGTTTGGGCCCGTCGCCTCACGCCCGCCGCCTCCATCCCCCATCTTCCCCGCCTCGTAATCTCTGTCGTCGGTTGGGAGCTCGCGCCGGCACAGCGGGCACGTGCTCCTCGTGCTCAGCCACGGCAAAATGCACGGCGGGTGGAACAGGTGAGCACACGGCAGCCTGCTCGCAACACTTCCCCCCACAAACGAGTCCTTGCAGATCGCGCAAACTTCCCCGTCCTCCTCAACCGCCACGCGCGGCATGCTCTCCATGAAAGAAACAGAAGCCGGGGGCGCCCCCCTCCTCGAACCCTCGGCCTCGGCCAGCCGCTCGAGCAGATTCTCGAGCCCCGGGTCGTCCAAGTAATTTGACGCGTGTACGGGATCAGCCTCCTCCCATTCGCTGCCGTCATCCTCCGAGCTCCACCGGTAGAGGCCGGCGTTCATTGGGTCAATATCTGTGTCACTGTATGAATTATCATTTTCATTCTCATTCTCGATTGAGCTCCGGCCATCATCATCATCATCATCATCATCGCTATAGGCACTGTAAGAGTATCTCCTGAGGCTGACGTTCGACTCGCTCTCCCCCCCGTACATGGAATCGAGGCCGTCGCTCTCAGTATCTGAGACAATAATAGCCCTCCTCGTCCTCCTCCTCCACCGGCGGGACCCGCTCGGGGTAGTGCGGGAACTGGTTGGGCCCACTATGGATGGTAACTCGTGGGAGTTGAATTGGTTTTGCCTTGCAAGGTTGATCAGTTGTGAGAACTGTTGCGAGAACATACTCTCGATGGACTCTGAGCTTCCGTGCCTTGTTCTCGATGCAAGAAGTCTTCTTCCTTGGGGGTGGTGCACGTCCGGGGACTGGGAGGTGGCGTCGAGATTCTCCAGCAATGCGAATTTGCAGTCGCCGCATGCGCCAATAAAGTCGAGATAGCCATCAACGTTATCTGGCAAGAAAGCTCGGTGGCAAAAGGTACACGTATCGATTGTGTGGATTTGTCTGGGGAATTCGGGAACGTCTCTGAAATCATTTTCAGAATCGGCATCCATGTATAACTGCAAGACAGAAAAAACTAAACTAAGAAAAAGGAAAAAGGAACATGAGCTTTATAAAAGAAACTAACGGAAGAACAATTATCAATGTCGAAAAAATGTCAGCCTTTGGAACTTCTATTACACTGTGTAGGTCTCCTCCGTAGCAAAACCTCTAGCCATTGAGAATATTAAAAATTCGTAGATTGAGCTAAACAAGCTTGGTGAGTGGCATGGAGAGGATAGATGTAAATAGTTAATCTTAAAGAAATAGCACAATTTTGCTTAGTTAGAGCAATGACACTAATGGTGCAATAGTTTGATGAAACAACCATTATACAGCTTACAACCTAGTTATGTATGCTAACTCGTCCACGAAGATGCACATTACGATCGCGAACAAAATTTACGACAAAATCACACATCTCACAAGCTAATGTAAACAACAAAGACTGGAAAACAATCACATGTATAGTACAATTGAAGTTATATGATACACATTTTTTGTTTAATGAATAAGCATTAGTTCGATTAAGAGAAAAAAAGAAAAAAAGAAAAACACTGATTTCTCTTCAACAACTAAACAACGTTATCTCAAGGATGTCTAGAAAGTTTCTTTCAAGTCTCATCATTTTTCAGGGAAAACATTCTTCGCAACCTATACTATATATTTTTCGAACTTCGCAACTCGATAGTATTTTTCCTGGTAAAATGCAAACTGAACTTCATAAACATTCCTAATTTGCAATCTTCCCTACATCTCGACCATACACGAGTTCTTATGATTGTATTGTCATGATAAGGTGAGGTTTACAAGTATGAATGCTCAAGAATACATTTAACAAGAAAAACACTGTAAGTCGCAAAGTCCAAATATATGTAGCTATTAGAATCGGGGGAAGAGAGTGCGACCCCAACAGGTGAAGCGCACCATAAGAGGGTGAGCCTAAGCGCACTTTAGTGAGGTTCTATACCAAAACCAATTGGGGATGAGAAGAGTTGCCCACTAGGCTTATATACTAGGCTCATTTTTTTCTATAGAATCAATGTGGGATAACTCACAAGTGATATTCCAACCGTAGCAAATTACGAATGTTAACGAAGTTCAAGTTGCATTTTACCATAAAAATGTTATAGATTGCAAAGTCCAAAAAGTATATAGGTTGCAAAAATATGTTTTACCCTTTTTTTCTAATGGGAAGAAATTGGTGTTACTCATCTCAAACACCTCAGTTGCATCGCCAGCATCATTAATAAGCTACATTTTATGGAAAATAATAGAAAAAAAAAAAAAAGAGAAATCGCATGAATCCAAACGAAGACGAAATCCCATAAAATTATTCATCAATAATCAGCTTACAAGAAAAAATCGAACTGTTCCACAATATATAAAATAAAAAAATTAAAAAAAAAATTGTACAGTAAGCTAAAGATTGAAACGAGATCTAAATGGGTTAGGGATTTGGGAGATATTTGCGGAAAGATAATTTGAACGAAAAAAAAAGAAAAATTTACCTGATGGATAAGAATCACTGAAGCTGTACGGCGAATGGATAGGCCGCCGGCGATCGGAGGAGCACCAAACTCCGGAGCAAAAGAGTGAAGGCAAAAATGCGGGGCAAAGGAAAAAAAAAAAAAAAGAAAAAAAAAGCGAAGAAAATTATAAAGGTAAAATAATGAAGATGAAATAATCCGGTAAAGATAAGATGAAACAGATGGGGGGAGATAGGGAAAGTCAAGCGAGGTGGGTGGGACTGAGTTAACTCGCCGTGTGCATCAATTGGTAGGTGCGTGCTAAACTAATGAGGATAAAAATTAAAAAGATCTTAGCAATTATTTGTATAATGGAATGAAATTTGAGATGAATTGAAATGAGTTGAAAAAATAAATGAATATGAGAAATGAAGGAAACCGGTTTTTTTATTGATGTGCTTGGTACGAAAAAAGAATAAGACCCGAATGGAATGACAATATCATTTTTTATATGGTCCGAGACTGTGGCTTCGGTCTTACAAAGGGTTCCTCCCAGTTACGACGTTGGTGCACTCGGTTTGGTTCGGCCCAAGCTTGAGCGGTCGTCGGTACCTGAAAGCGCGCCGGAATTCCTTCGGCGCAAGACCGTGTATTACACGTGCTTGTAAAAAAATATTTTAAAATTTTAAAATTAATGAGAAAAACTATTTTATATTTAATTTATTTTCTTACAAAAAATATATATTATTATATATTTTAGAATGGCATGACTTGTTACTTGTCGACTTACATGTGTTATATTATAGTAATTTTTATAACTTATATCATATAACTACTTGAAATATAAATATATTAATTGATGAATAATTATATTTTTCTAATTAATATTACAAAACAATTATATTATTTTTATAAATATAAATATAATTTATGTTTTTATACATACAATATGTATGTTAAATCGAAGTTCATCAAGAGATGATTAATTTGATATTATATATATATATATATATATATATAACTGATGAAAAATACAAATGTTATTACTGTTAAAATACAAGTATATTTTAATGGTTATAATAAGAAATGATATTAAAATACAATTAATACATGTAACATGACCATAAATAATAAACATATTTATGGATAATCCGGACCTAATTATTTTTGGATTGGAAGTAAATTAAAATCTAATCAATCCTAATAACGAAGCATGTAATTTTGTCATACAGGATCCCAAACCATGCGAGCTTGCCACTTAGGGTCACCACGTTCTGCGTTAACAGATAGGGGGATATCAGCTAATACAAATATACATTACATAAACCCTATAGTATATGTGGTCAAATATAATTTTTTATATTATAAATCAATTTATGAATAAATATATAGTATATATGATGTATAAAAAAATATATCTTTCAATTATTTATAAATAAATTTTTGGTTTTATTTTTATATAAGATGGT